TAGCTCCTGAATATATCTCCTGTGTGGGCAGCTGGGAAGGGAAAATTAAACTCTTACGTGTTTCATGTGGGTGGGGCCAGGAGTATTTGAAGAAGCCAAGCAGAAAATGGAGTTTAAACCGGCTTTGCCCCTTGTGGAGGGGTGCTTGGCTGGGTCCTTTCCCTGGGGCCCTTCCAGAGGACAGAATCCTCTTTGGGAGGCGTTCACCGGGCTGATGGCTCAGATGTTGTGGTGAGACGCAAACCCGCATTCTTGGAATAGGACCCAGTGGTTTCTCTCTTACCTCATCTTGTTAAATCGGTCTGAGGACTGGGCTGGGTACCAGAGATAGTAGCAGCTTCCTCCTGGCCTGCCATGTAATCTGAAGCCCTTGCAGCTCCATCCTAGGGCAGCCCGGGAGGAGGCGGAGATGCAGGAAAGGGGGCGAAGAGGAAGTGCCCCTCTTAGGTTCTGACCTCATCAGCCCCAATCTGTGACTTGGAGAAATGTGTTTCAAAGTTGGCTTTAGCCTCTGTTAAGAGAGTATCTTAATTTAACCTCCGTAGGACCTGTGTGCTCTGCAGTAGATCAGATATGGGGTGTTTGAAAGATGGTTGCTGTGCTCACATAAAATTTATGCTCTACAGCCCTGAGAGTGTCATTACTACCCACTGTTTAAATCAACTATTTTTGGATGCAATATTTCATTCTTTAAGTAAGGGTGTGTAGTATACAAATCCAGTGTGGGAAATGTGGAATAATTATAGAAAGAATAAATAACAAAGACATTTTTTCCTCCTCGTGTGAAATTATCAAGCCAATGAATTCATTTATATAATGCTCACCCGTTTTCCGCCTGCGGTTTTAACTATGAAAACCACTCTAACAGAAATGGTCAAAACCAAGCAGTGAAGAGTGAAATAGCATTTCAACGTGGTTGCTGTAGACACTCTTAAATTACTGTGTAGTTTTTAATTTAAGTAGGTGTTACATAGTGTCTCAAATCTATGTTCTGCTGATGAATTCACAAATGCCCCTAGTTCAAACAACACATTCCTTAAGCCTACTGATAGCTCCGTTTTAAATCAGAAACCTGATTCCTGTGCTCAAATTTTAGAAATCTTTTTTCTTCAGACAGAAACCTTTAACACACATTTAACACTATTTCAATAAACATGGTTGGTCGTACATTGTTTCTGATTTTGAGAGACTGTAAGAAGAGAGAATCATCATCCCTAAGGATCTTATACCTCAGCACAAGTGTGTCATGAGACCATGAGAAAGTTGTCAGAGCAATACATCTCATTGTTCTAAATTTTTTACATTGAGTAAGAAACCTAAATATCTTAATGCTTTTATTTACCAGAGTTCCTTTGTGTTCAAACAAAGTATTTGAAGAATTTCCTGGACTGGGGATAAGTGTCTAATGAAGTCATCTGTTTTCTAGGGACAACAGATCCTGCTGACCACAGGACACTTTGATTTGCCCAGGACACTTGTGGTTAGCAGGGAATAGCTCAGATTATAAAGGGGTGGGAAATATGGAGTTCCCTGGAGAGGAATTTGAGAAAGAAAGGCTGGGTATAAATGGACTGAGTCTCTTAATCACGCTTTAGAGATGGGCCGGGGAGAGCAAAAGGTCAAATGAGATGAATTTTGCATTAATTTTTAAATTTGTTTTAAAAAAAAGGATAATGGATTACCCTCCTTAGTCATTGTGTCATGGGTGTATAGTTCAGCAGTGTTTAGTATATTCATGATGTGGTCCAACCATTCTCCAGAACTTTATCATATGACATTGAAACTATACCCATTAAACAACAATTTTCCATTCCCCCTTCCTCCAGTCTCTGCCAACTAATGAGATAATTTTACACTGTTATGGTGACTTGTGTGATACAAGGTATTTTCTTGCTTAAGAAAGAAAGCAGTATTACTTTTTTATATTTTTATGAAAATTGGAAGTCTCTGGGTGATACCAAATTTTACACACACAGACACACACACACACACACACACAAATATATCAGATAAGACAGAGGCTAGTACCTAGAGGCAAATATGATATCTGACATCATCTTTTTATTTACAGAAACATTGAACATAAAGTATTGTTTTGGTGGCACTGGGGTTGGAATCTGGGGAGGTATGATATAGATCCCCAGCCTTCTAAATTATATTTTTTTGTTTTTTAATTTTGAGGCAGTGTCTTGCTATATTTCCTAGACTGACTTCAAACTTGTGATCCTCCTGCTTCAGCCTCCTGAGTAGCTGGAAATACAGGTGTGCCCCAGCTTGCCTGGCTGCTTATACTTGTTAAATTACCACTTCTTCATGACGGGAAAGCTTAAAGATATGATCCCATGTAGGTCACATGCTCATCGTGCTAAGAGCTTGTGAGGATATGAAAAATATTCTAAAATACTACCTTTCTTAATTTCCCACATTAAGAAAGGCACCAAAATGAAAAAAAAATTCCCGCTTAATTAAAGCAGAACTTTGCAAAATTCCACGTAAGGGATAGAGTAGGAAAAGATATCCTTGTCTGCCTAAATAACTACTTATGTGATTTTAAGATTTCTCTTTTTTAATTTCAGTTGCTTTTGTGTAGATTCCCTTAAGGATGCAAATCCTTCGTACAGAATCCTAGAATCCTCTGGCTATCGCTTGGCTGCCTGTGCTCATTTGTCATTCACACAGTCACAGTGGCAAGTTACATATGAGACTCTCATTTGAATGGAGTGTGGCGTGCGTGGTATTTGTAAGGACAGGATAGGATGTGGTTGGTGTCTGCAGCTGCCAGTAGTTAAATACTTTCACAGGGCACAGATGATTTCACAGCTTGGCTAGGAAGCCCATCGTACATTGCTTTCATTCCGCTGACTGTTACACCTGGTCATTTGCCAGTGGAACAGGTGAAACTTGGTGAGTGGGTGGTGATTTCTGGGGCAGGGACTGGAGGAGCCAGGAGTTCTTGAATTCCTTTGGCACCAGCTTCCTCTCAAGGAATGAACTAGATTGTAGTGCTCCTGTTCACTACCCTTCAACTTATTTCTGTGTAAAAAAGGGGAATGTTTTCAGTGGGCCAAGTTTATGCTGCAGGAATGCCCACGGAGGAGCAGAGAGAGAGGCTGCATCATGTGATTATTATTAGATCTGACATGAATTAGACGATGACAGTGTTTCAAACCAAGGTACAGTTGACTCGATCTACTTAGAATTTTAAAAATCTTTTAAAATGTTTTATTTTTTCTGATATGTGTATTTACTGTGCATATTATTGGGGTTTACCGTGACATTCCAATACAAGTGTAGAGCTATTTACAATTTTATTTCTTTTCTTCTCTTTTCTTAAGTTTATTGGTACATTTGAGATATGCATAATGCTCACAGTCAGAGTAGGGAATTTGTGTCTATACGTAATATAGCTTAGCTTTTCTTTCATTCCCCCAATTCTCCACCCTTTTCTTCAACCTTTTTATTTCTTTGAGAACATCTCTACTCAGAGGTTCCAGGATAAATAAATGGAGTCTTCATATTTATCAACCAAACAACAGACTTGGATTTTTTTCTTTGTCTTTTTGAGACAGGGTCTTGCTACGCAGTTCAGGCAGGCCTTGAGCTCACTTTGTACCCCAGGTTGGTCTCTAGCTTTCAATGATCCTCCTGCCTCAGCCTCCCCGAGTGCCGGGATTACAGGGAGGTGCCACCACACCCAGCTAGACTTTGAATTTTTATAACAATGTGGATTTTTCCCACATTGTTAATTAGTGCACGCTGGTTATACAGTTTGATGAGTTTCATTTTGGCAGAGTGGTATGTGCACATAACACACTTTAATGCCCCTCTCCATGGCACGCCCCTGCTCCATACCCACTCCAAGCTCACATCCTTGGGGGAAAGTCTCTACATGTTTAATGTATTTTGCTCCTGCTCCTGTTCCTACTCCCTGTCCCCACCCCACTTTTTTCCCCCTCCCCTCTCTTCCCTGCCTCTTGTCTAATAATCATCTCCCTTCTACTTGCCTGTCCAGGAAGGATCCCTAAATGCAACACCCAGAGAAATTTGTGTCTTTGAAGACTATGAGGGGAGAAAGTGAACACTTCCTAGCCCTGAAATGTTAATGTAAAACTGGTGAGCCAGGAGCTGGTGAGATACAGTTTATACCTATAGACCGCCGTGAAGAAAGGTTTGGACTGAGGCATATTTTTACATAGAAACAATTTAAAAGAGTGATTACAAAAGCCCTTTAAATGACAACTAACTAGTATCCCTATAAAAATAGTGCTTTTAATCACATATTGCTAATGTAGAAGCCAGGAAAACTAGTTCTTTAAAAATCATTTCTAAGCCAGGAGTGCTGGTAGACGTCTGTAATCCCTGCACTTGGGAGGCTGAGGCAGGAGGATCACTGTAAACTCAAGGTCAGGCTGAACTACATAGTGAGACCCTGTCTATAAAAAATTTCTAGAAGTAGAATTTTTGTCAGTTTGGCCAAACTGGACTTTTTATACTTTTACAGATGGGAGAAAAGGAGAAACACAAATCTTCACTCTCATGTTCTCATATTTAGAGCATGTTATTCAGAGTTTGGTTATTCACACAAGTGTGTTCATTCTGGTGCTGTCCATGCAGCAGGGGGAGATCGTGGCTGCCAGCTACTGGAACAGCCAGGACGGGGCAATTTCAACAGCTAACTGAAATATTTCCCCCACAACTACCCATTTCTAAAGCAAATGAAGATTTCTGGGGGGAATTGTAAAATACTTAAGAGACATTTTCCCTCCAACACAAGGCAGGTAAGTGACATGCAGTGGATCCCAGGGCTCTGTGTGGGGAGGATCAGTCCATGTCTCCTCCTTCAGTCCAATAGAATCAGCCAAACCCCATTCAGTGTTCACTGACGGTGCTGCTTTCATGCAAAGACTCTCCCTCTGAAGAACAGAGGCTGAGCGAAATGGCTGGCCATGCATTCTGGTGCAAAGACATGAATTGACGGCTGCTTCTCCTTGTTTGTGAAGCCTCTGCCTCCGTGTCATGACTCTGCGGAATCCATGCAGGTGTACAAACAACACTGCCAAATAGCAGAAGAATACCATGAAGTCAAGAAAGAGATCGCCCTGCTCGAGGAAAGGAAGTGAGTACCTCTCTCCTGAGCACTCTCACTGTAGAGTGACTTCCTCCTGGGCAGAGACTGGAGTGGGTGGGAGTGGGGAGGATGCAGGAATGATCTAAGTAGCCCTGCGGTGGATTAAGGGCTTTGTGGCTCCTACTCAGTAAGACATCTTACTTCAGGAAATGAAAATTACCAAAATCCCACCTCTAGTCACACAATTCCCTCTATAAATGCACCTAGAGGTCCCCAAGTACTTTGGCTTGGGGTGGATATTAATAAATGCTTAAATGGTGGTTTCCCCACTTTAAATGAAGAAGCCACTGGGGTAGCATTTTGGAATAACATAAACGTGTTAGTTGACTAACTGCATTTTATAGTTCAAGTAAGTTTTATCTTGATAGCTTTTATTGCCACTGCAGTTCTGCTAGTTCTGCTGCAGGGAACTATACAGCTCTATTAATTAGCACGCTCCAGTTTTGCTCACTCATAACTTTTGGTTTCAGAATCCTCCTTTTTAATTGCACTTATCCTGCCAACATCTATCCCAGTGGCTTCAAATTTTTTTTTTTTATTCTTTCAAAGCATCAGACTATACACCTTGCTTTAATAACACTGGCCAGTTAGTGAGATCTGTCGATTAATATATTTGTACCTCTGACATACTAAGTGATAAGTGGATAGTCAGACGTTGTCCACCATCGAATTGCTAATCTCATACGTTGTATGACGTCTAAAGGCTAAAGAAGTTCCTGTCTAAGGTATGGAGTATACAAATACTCAAACCCTTTCCTACTTCCTTGCTTTACTGTACTTAAAACATCACATCCAACCAGGACTTTTGGATATAAGAGATTAAGTGATTTTATTAAAAATTCAGAAACAAAACTTTTGCTTTATAAATCTTAGGCTTTCATTTGGTCTAAAAATTTCAATAAGGTGATGAGGATATTAATTTATACAGTCTGATTTCTACAAAAAGTTTCATAAAGTAATTGAAAATTATTAATCTCTTGAAAAACACTGTGCAAAAGGCTACTTATGCGATCAGTAACCTAGGGATGTATTTGCCTCTCTCTCTCTCTCTCTCTCTCTCTCTCGCTCTCGCTCTCTCAGTGTGTGTGCGTGTGTGTGTGTAATTTGAGACAGAATTTCACAGTGCAGTTTAATTCAGGCTGGCCTTGAACTCACTTTGTAGTCCAGGCTGGCCTCAAACTCAAAGCAGTCCTACTGATTCAGCCTTCCAAGTGCTGGAATTATAGGCATGAGCTACCACACTGGGTTTGGCTTTCTGCTTTCTGACAACTCAGAGTCACCACTAAATTATATGTTCTTCAAGTTTGTATTTGTGTATGTTTCATCTAAAAAATAGGATAGGATAATGACAGGGAATGACTCATATCTGGTCTTTGAAATATATCCTTGCTGCTTATGTTGAAAAAGATGATAATTTGTGGGTTAACCACCGCGACATTAAAATAAGAGAAAACAAAGTCAGCTTCTAGAAAGAAGGTGGCTAGCAGACTAGCAGAGTACTTTATACCACCTTCTAGGACCACAAAGAAGTTGGCTAGCCCCCACTTTGCTGCTTCGAAGACTGTGTGTTTTTATGAAGGACTCATTTCTTCACCAAACAGCTTTCCCTAAATAGTTGGCTAGCTGTGAGGCAAAGGCCAAATTTTTTTATTTGTATTTCTTTATTTTAGGCAAGTATTTCCAGGTTCTTTTCTTTCCATTTCCAGTTCTGTCACTTGGTCACTCAGTGTTTATTGCTTTGAATCTTGGTTGATGCAATATCATCTGTTCTTCCTGCCTCGGGTTTCTGTTGCTAGAAAGTGACAACCAGTTCTTGGGCTAGATTTTCAAGTCTCACCGTCATGGGCCTGGTATCTCTAGAACTTTCTCTCTTGTTCCTCTGTCTCTTGCATTGGGTTATTCACCTATCTGAAGGCTGGAGGTGGATCCTACGGAAGCCAAGCATTTCTCTTATACATGCTTGGCTGAAAGTGCCCTTAATATTCTTTTATGCCCATGCAAATGCAACCCTGCCTTGAGGAGTGCTCAGCCCATGTCTCTACTGTCCACATCACACAGAGAACAGCTTTTCAGGAGCAAAGAAAGATTCACTGGAATGATGCTTTCGCTATTTTTTGTAGGCTAGTGTTATCAGTAGTTATCCACTTGTCTCCAGTCTTTCAGAGAATCTGTAGTTCCTGCAGCATTTGTTTGTATTCTAATTACCCATCATGGAATGGTACATAAGTCAAATATGAGTGAGCTTGATTATAGGTCATAGTAAGATCCTCCATTGATATATATATTTTATTTGTAATTTGAAATGGCCTACTTTTAAAATACAGAGTCAATATCAGCACGAGGGTGCTGCTAAAATATATTGTCAGATCACACAAGATGGTTTTATTTATAAATAAAGAAGCTTAATCTTCCAGGAGTTATTAGCAGTCATTGTTTTCCCTAACATTTCATGGAAGCAGAACTTCATCTGGGGATGAAGCTTTTCTTGAACACTGTTTGTTTCCAAGTGAGATAAGTGGGGCCAGATGGATTTTACCTGAGTAATTAGCTGTCTAGTTTTTGATGATTCCGATGAGAATTTCTTCCCCACTGTTTTACAAAGTGTGATGGTTGATTTTTGTTGCCTCTGGTGTCTGGTTAGCGTAAGCTAGACACAAAGATGCTAACTCAAGTATTTTACAAGAGACCTTTTCTTCACTGGAGTCATTCAAGCAAAGCTTGTATTTTGAACTCCAGTCTCTTCTCCCGTATGTCCAGAGGAGGTCTCCCTGGATCAACTGGAGAGCATTTGCAGAGGATTCACAAGAAGAGTTGATGTAACTGATGTCTATGAGACAAACAGAGAAAGTCAAAAATTTTCTGGGGTTATAAACTTGCTATGGAATGAATCCAATTTAAAGACTTATATCTGGCTTATGACCAATGATGTAGGAGAGGTATCTTCCTATTTTTACTGAAACATTTTTTCAATAAAAAAAATGAAACCTTCATTGAAAACTTTAAAATATTATTTAGGATTCTTTAAAGAACTACTGATATCATTTGCCTACCTCATTCTAGAACTTTTTGTACGTAAATTGTTATATCTTTATAATTGTGTGTATTACAGCCTGCTTTTTCAATAAATACTATAAGCAGCTTCACGTAACAAACCATTTTTTATATATGTAATAGAAAGCTATTGGAAATACGATAAAGACATTTAAGTCTTTTGAAATTTATCACTGATTGTTTGAAAGTTTCATTTTATTTTAACACTGAGGAGTGAACCCAGGGTATTTATTCTGAGCTATATCTCCCACTCATTTTTTACCTTATTATTTTGAGACAGGGTCTTGCTAAATTGCTAAGTTGTCCAGGCTAGGCTCAAATTTGCAATCTCCTTGCCTTTACTTCCCAGAATACAAGTATGTGATACCACACCCACTGACAGAAAAATGTAACATTTCCAGCTAAATTTCCATCAGGTGGAAAGGTAGCATTGTTCCAGATAGAGTACTTTATCTTGTCCAGTGAGGAAATCACTTTTCTTTTTTTTTTTTTTTTTTTTAAGAGGAAAAAGAGAAAAACACAAAACAAAACAAAGCAGTGTAAGGTTACATATAATACAGAACTACAAAAAAAAGCATAACAGTAAGAAATCACCTGTTAATAGATTACATATTATCATCTTGGAAATAGTTGCTCAAATCACAGTATCAAAGAATACAAAGTAGACATTCAAACAGAGAGACTACAAACAGCTGTGTTCAATGATCCAAAAACATTAATATAGTCAGCTATTCAACATCCCTATACACACTTGCTGTTATATCCGTTAGAGCTCTTTTTTCCCCTTCCTCTCTTTTTACAACAAAATTTACACATTTTAGATTTTATTACTCCTTAGTTCTTATTACTTTTTTGGGGGGGGGAGAATAAAGTCAAATATGGCAGAACAAAGCTGTCAGTGAAAACCAAGGATAGACTTAGCACATGATGTAGAACAGAGTATACGGTTATTAACAATAGTTATCAACGTCTCTTGTTTCCTTAAAAAGATTTGTCTATCTCATTAGATATTATAAAGTTGGACAAAACAGTAGAGAACAAGACCAATAAAACTTAGACATTGTAAACATTACAGGACTTCCAAAGGAGACAATAGTCAAACCAGAATGGGCATCTTAGTGAATCTTACTGCCTTCAAAGTAGTTGCCTATACCCTCGGACCTGATACTATCCCACAGAATGGAACAGAGTCTAATCAGTCAAAACAAGATCGTGGGAGCATTACAGGACTTCAAAACAAGTTAATAGGAAATCGAAAAGAGTTACTATTATATATCCTAATTTTTTAAATTTTTCCCTTAATTAAAATAAACATAAGAAATAACTAAATAATTTTTTAAAAGAATAATAGTTACCATAGTGTCTGTCTTTTTCCTTGAGATATTTGGATAAAACTTCATATACTATAGCTTCAAATATTTCCATATCAAGAAGCCCAGAATAAAGCCTTTCTAATTAATAAGTGAAAATTTTATAAGGCTTCAAGGCCACATAATGGGGAATCATGATTGCCACATATTTTCATATATTTGAATCATTACTTACATTAGGGAAACTATTCGGTATTCATACATGCGAGATTGATTTATTTCACTTATGAGTATGGTCTCAAGCTGCGCCCATTTACTGATAAATATCTCAATGTGATCCTTCTTTATAGCTGAATAATATTCCATTGTATAGAAATACCACAACTTTTTTATCCATTCCTCAGTTGATGGACACTTGGGTTGTTTCCAAGATCTGGCGATTACAAATTGTGCTGCTATAAACATAGGTGCACATAAATCACTGTGGTATGATGCTTTCAGTTCTTCTGGGAATATGCCTAGAAGTGGAATAGCTGGAATAAATGGGATTTCCAATCCCAACTTTTTGAGAAACCTCCAAACAGACCTCCACAAAGGCTGTACCAGTCTACACTCCCACCAACAGTG